TAAAAGTCCGTTGTTGCGTCTCAGACGCATTGCCATTATCCTCAACATTCCTATCCTCCACCAAGTTCTCGCCAGCCAAAACGGAACTTCCCACTCGTACTGAGGGTTCGAGGGAACCACTCGTACATGACCCGTCCTGCTCAGCAGGGGGAAGGGAAATCGTCCTCGGATGAGAGTCCGAGTTGCTCCGTTGTTGTGGTTCCGAAAGGGAAACCGCCAGCAGGTTGCAAGTTGTGGCTGTTCGGCGACAAATAGAACATTGGCAAGAATTAGATCCGGGAATGTTGACACGAATCAGTACTGACTCAACTTGATCTGGTTGGAAATTCTGAATTTCCTCCAGATACCAAGGAGCTAGATTTCCGGTTGTGACATCAACTGGATAATTGGGGGACTCCCCAATTGTCTCCATTGCCATAGTAAGATCTTGGCGGGAAAGGTCAGGATCATACATCTCGGTGTCAGTAATGACATGTTGTCCGAGGTATGTATTTAGGTCGGAGGAATAAACTCGTTCGACCAGAGTGGTGTCCGGGAGAGAATATTCGGGAGAAGTTTCGCAGGGTGGAATATGAATTGCTGTGATATCGAAATCACCAGCTTCAAAAGCAGCAGCGGCATTTTCGTAGAATTCCTGACCCTGAGCAGTATACTCGGGTTCATAGGAATTTTGGCCATAACAGGAATCTTCAGGGATTTCCTCTAAATAGGCCGTGTCGATAGGTTCAGCACCTTCGACTTCTAAATTGTTGGCTCGGGCTTTGCCCTTGCCTCAGCGACGGTTTTGGCCTCGGCCACGAGAACCAGAACCTTGCTGCTGTGGTTGAGAATAGGGAGTATAGCCTCCACGTCCACGTCCACGAGTTCCGCAACCTCTTCCGCGACCTCCACAGTTACCGCGAAAGGATCCTGATCCAGATCCAGATTGATGATCGGAAGTATTATGACCGCCTCTGCAGATTTGGCAAAGAGGTGGCTTATTCATACATGCCAGAAGCGAATTTGATTCTTGTTTAATCTGAGTTGAAGAAGACCTGGATTTATCCTGTTGTGGAAGCATAGTTTTGCCCGAATGATGGGCCCAGACTTCTTTCATACAAGGTATGACCGTATTGGGAGAAAGTTGATCGGCAGCAATAGATGATAGAATATTAACAGGTGCCTGTTCCCAGGCTTGAGTCATTGAATGGACTAGGATGAGTGCTTTCATTTTATTATTCAGGGTGATACCCTGAGCGGTAATGGCCGCGAGAAGCATATTGATCTCAGCGATTTTGGCCATTATGTCATCCTTTGGTTTAATTTGAATACGGATAAGGCATTGGAATTCCATAAAGGTTGTCATCGCCGAAGGAGTTCTGTATGATTGATTAAGTGCCTGCCATTTCAAATGGGCAGACGCTTGTCCATCAATTGACATTGCGATCATCGGATCGCAGTAAAGCGTGAGAATGCCTTGTGCTCGGTTATCAGATGTATGCCAAGCATCAATGGCAGCCTGTCCAGCGGCAGCGGCTGGTTGAGCAATTGTGCCGTCAACGATTCCCATAATGCCAAGGGTTTGCATGTAAGCTTTCATTAGAACCAACCAAGAGGCGTAGTTCAAGCCATTAAGCTTGGGGATCTGCTTGGAAAGACCTTCGGACATCTAGTGTCAAAAGTCCATAAGCAGATGTTCATAAAGGAACGAGTGAGTCGGATGGATTAAAATGGATGGAGGATTCAATTCATGTATCCGATTCCTTTTGGGTCTGCGAGCAGATGCTCTAGCAGCTTGAGATGGACGACGCTTGCGAGTACCATGGGCTTTGAAATAAGGACGAGGATTCCTTCGCTTTTGCATTTTGGTCTCCGGTGCTTTGGTACCTTTCTCAGCGAATCTCCAGGATGAGATGCGAGAATTATTGCGCTCTAGACTTAAAAAGTCTAGTGGAGGGAAATAATGGTAAGCCATGAAACTCCAATTGCAATCATGCAACGGAATTCCCTCTGATCGAAACCCAAGATAGGGATCGGCGCAAGAATAGGGTACATTTAGGCAAAAGGAGTAGCGAGGATGATAGTCCTTAACTAATACTTCTATACAATTGTAACTTTCATAAAGATTACAAGTATTAGTTGCCCAATGGTTTCGGCCGCCTGATACATACGGTGTGTCCAGAGAGTTTGGAAGAGGATAACTTCTGGCATATGGTTCTTGCTTCACAAGCTCTGCTAAGAGCCGTGGTGCGAATTCCTCAAGGTCGGGGAGCCGAGAGATAGTCAAAAGAAGTGTCGGCCATGCAACGTTCGAAATCGCATAAAATCTCTTCTGATCCGGGCCAGTAAGCGAAGTCTGTGTCAGAGGGGGCGAGACCCCATGAAAGATGCTGGTTAGAAGAGTTATATCGCAGGGTACTTCCCACATCTGCCGTATCCCTAAACCGTCGTATAAACCTAAAGAGGTCGCTATCAAAGCGGTCTCCTCCGCATCTTCGTTCACGGAACCACCTTGGGATACATCTAACGTCCGTTGATCCGTCAACCCAAGTTCCTCAGAAATGGAACTCAAGATGCTGGTTCCAAATGCGGAGAGAAGGGATGAGGCCATTGAAGCACGGATCGTAGAGGGGGTGGATGTTATAATAGACGTAGATGAATGTATTGTGGGTGACAGTGAACGCAGGAATAGACTCGAGGGCAGGATCTTCATAGTAAGCTGATGGAAGATCGCAACCGTTGAAGTTAGCAATTGCGTGAGGAGTCAACGTATGGGAAAGTTTAGGGAAAAAATCGGTAAGATAGCCATGGAAGGCTAGGTGGAGCCCTGGATAGAAGTACGGCGATTCGAAACCGGGAAAGTGGGGCATTTCCTGCCACGCTGTTTCCACGGTATCGATGGGAATGAGATATGTTGCAGGATTCAGCTTCTTGAAGAATGCGACTGAGGATGGTACCGCCTCTCTCCAACTGGAGCAATCGCGTACATATAACATCTCTGTGTACTCTATGATCTCTTTCACTGCATACTTCCTCCACTTCACATCATACATTCCATCCCATTGCTCAGCAATAGCAAGTTCGAGTTTCTTGGCAACGACGAGAGACATCTTTTTAAATAACTAGTCCTTGTTCTGCGACAAAGCAAACGAGCTTTAAAGCAAATTGAACTCAGCGATGTCATCGACAGCGAGAACGACGTTAGGATTGATCAACTCGTTGACAGCCACAACATCCTCAGGAAGAGGAGTCGGTGCACGTCGAGGAGAAGGCGGGTTACGCGCTTCAAACTCGTCGTACGGCGGAACAGGATCAAGATCTGTGTCATAGTCGATATCGGGAAGATGGAAATGTAGATAATGGGGAGGCGGAGTCGGTGGATGAAGAATGAGTCGCTGTAGAAGCGCTCTGCGGAGTATTTGCTCTTGAAGCAATAACTGCCGCCTTCGCCACCAGGCAGAGAGACCTAGAAAAGTAAACCAAAAGGCTACGGAGCGAGCAGCAAGCTCCCGTAGAAAAATCGGGTTATATCCACCATAATGAAGTAAAAGCACGGCCTGGTTAAGGCTGGCTACAACAGCGACAGCGAAAACTACTACTACCGTCCCTAGCGCATCTAGGCCTACGATATCCATAGTGATTTGCCCATCGGCAGTGATCGCTCTATGCAAATACCGCAAATAGCTTGCCACCTAGTTATAGGCGGGGCTCATAACCTATTGCGCAGAGGAACGGGAAGTAACGAAGAGCGAGGCACGAACACTTGCCTTTATATCAGAACGGTAGTAGACTTTGAAGTAAGCTTGTTAAGCATTGAGGGGCTCAGTTGTCGAGTAGACAAGTGAAGAACGAATGCTTGATTCGATGGGGATTGAGGAAGAAATCCCCGAGTTTATATACATGAGTAGGTACGCACAGACCAGTAGCGTAAAAGGAAACTACTACTCAGTATAGTAAGGAATAGCGCAGAAGGTCATGGAATATGATGTATAATATGATGTCAGTATGACATCATTGTGGAGCTGATTGCTAAGGAATGTCATGTGATGAACAACATGTTGATACACGTGTAAGTCTGGATCAATCTAGATGTCGGAACATATAGTAATATTTCCAACATTCTCCCCCTTCTGACAGATAAGCAGGTGGATCTTCTCAGCTCTATGTTGGTGGCTTGGCAACAAGGTTAGTTATGAGCAGGTGGGGCTCATAACCTGATAGGAATGATGTGTGCACAGTGACTGATGTGGGAGCAATTAGGTACAAGCAAGCATATGTGCAAGGATGGCCAGCTTAGGACTCAGTGCATTCAGATAGGGAAGTGGGTCAATGAGGTGACATTCTTGTCTCATGGGGATTCTTTCCCCTGCAGTAGCTACCTTATATCTATGTCATACATTCGATATCTTGTCTGTTGGGGTGCATCCACCCCTACTCCTGCCTTTGTATTTTTCACTTTGCTTGTCCCCTTTTTGGGGTTGTGACATATGTCCCATGCTCTCTGTGCATCATCGTTTCCTTATTTGGGTGTGATGGCAGGTTGGTATTTCTAAATGTACTTATCGCTGCTAGCGCACAGGAGAGCCTCGGAACCATTCCACGATATTGGACGGAACCCATAGAACGTACTTTTTCTCTTTGTTCTTTTCTTTTCCTGGCTAGACTTCACAGTAGATCGCATTTGATCGCTTAATCAATGCTCGCGTTGAGGGTCTGGCTAATGCTGTCAGCAGTGAACGCCAGATCTTGGAGATCGTGTAGGTTGTTGCGTTGTCTTTCATCATTCCGTAAGGGAAATGTGTTCGACAACAAGTGCATTCTTTCTTGTATACTGGATGATTTCAGTGTCATGAGGGGTATACTCTGATTACCGTTCGTGCTATTGCATTATATCTTACACCCAATATGTACTATTTGGCAGGACCACCTTGCTCTCTGACCGTCTTGTCCTTGTCCGAACCGAAACCACATTCCTTATCTCCCCTTCCGGTGATCAGAGGACGCAAACTCAAAGTACGAGGCTAGGGTTCAAAGCAGTGATGCCAGCTGCGACCGTGAGCCATCTTGCTCAGATCAAGCTCTGGACCACCCTTGGGCATCACTAAGGTATTCCATGGAGAATAAAGAAGTTGATGATGTGTCAAAGGGACCCATAGCAATAGTTGACCTCGAGGCCCTACAATCCAACCGTCCTCTTGGAGTTCGACAAGCTCGCGCCAGTCCCCTTTTAAATCAGAAAAAAACCCACGAGCATCCCGTAGCGCATGCGAAGGAGTAGATGAGAAACGGATTAGAGTTTGATTTTTAGGGGTATCCTCTTCAAAGTCACTGGCAAAATTGGTTGGCCGAGACTGATCGTCATCGGCTAATGGTATGTCCAGCTTGAACGGTTGGGTGTGCTCGTGGAAGGAACCCTCCACATACGAACTGCACTTCGCTTCCCAAATCCGGATTGTGTCGCCGTAGGAACTCGACAAGATACGTCTCCCATCGGGGGAGAAAGAAACAAAGTTGACCAAGGTAGTGTGCCCTCGAAGGGCGTTGCCCACCTGTATGCCTTTCTCCACGTCCCAAACTCGGATGGTGTGGTCTGAAGAGCCTGAGACAACATACTTTCCATCCGGTGAAAAAGCCACTGAATCGACCTGCCCAGTGTGCCCTTGGAACGGATTTCCCGTCTGCGCTCCGGCCTGCATGTCCCAGAGTCGAACAATGTGGTCCCGATAGCCTGAGGCGATAAGTGCTCCATCTGGCGAGAACGCTAGAGAGTTAACAGACCAGGCACCTCCGAGTGGTTCACCAATTGGCGCGCCTGTCTGTGTGTCCCAAAGTCGGATCGTACGATCTGATGAACCCGATGCGATACGACTTCCATCTGGAGAGAAGACGACTGAGTAGACTGTCTTAATATGTCCCTGAATCGCGTCGCCCAGCTGCGTGCCAGTTTCCACGTCCCAAAGTCGAACAGTATGGTCGTGGGAGCCAGAAGCGATGCACTTCCCATCTGGCGAGAACGCGATTGACTCGATCGATTTGGTATGTCCACGGAATGCGGTGCCAAATTGCATACCTGTCGCTACGTCCCAAACACGAATTGCATCAACAAAGCAACCCGCAACGAACTTTCCGTTCGGTGAGAACGTAACCGACTTGACCGAGAAGCTGTTCCCTTCGAACGGATTACCCACCAGGGTACCACTTTCTGCATCCCAAAGCCGGATCACGTCGTCATATGAGCTTGACACAACGCACTTTCCATCTGGTGAGAATGCAACCGAGCTGACAGACATGCTATGTGTCTTTCCGGTCTGTGCACCTGCTTCTGCATCCCAGAACCGGATGGTGTCGTCGTAGGAGCCAGACGCAAGACGCCTTCCGTCGGGCGAGAACGCGACTGAATTGACTGACGCTGAATGCCCACATAGGGGATTTCCTAACTGGGTACCCATCCCCACATCCCAAAGACGAATCGTATGATCGAACGAGCCTGACACGACGTGTTTCCCATCAGGAAGGAATGCCACTGAGGTAACCGATCCTATGTGTCCAGTAAATGGTGTTCCCAGCTTCCGACCCGTCTCCGAGTCCCAAAGTCGAATAGTGTGATCGTATGAGCCTGAGACGATGCGTTTTCCGTCAGGGGAGAATGCAATAGAGTTGACGGACATGGTATGCCCTCGGAGGGGGCTGCCGACCTGCACACCTCTTTCTGAATCCCAAATGCGAATTGTATGGTCATAGGAACCCGATGCAATTCGTTTGCCGTCGGGCGAGAATGCGACAGAGAAGATTGCTGCGGTATGACCTTGAAGGGGGCTGTCGGCTTGTTCCCCCGTATCTGCGTCCCAAAGGCGAATCACATTGTCATTGGACCCCGACGCAATACGTCGTCCATCTGGCGAGAATGCCAGCGTGTACACCGCATCAAAATGACCACGAAAAGGGTCACCAATCGGAGCACCGTTCTCCGCGTCCCAAATCCGGATCGTGCAATCCGAAGAGCCCGACGCGATGCGCCTTCCATCGGGCGAGAATGCAATTGCGAAGACCGGCTTGGTGTGTCCCCGAAGGGGCTTCCCCACCTGCGTACCTATTTCCGCATCCCAAAACCGGATAGTATCATCCGAGGAAGCCGAGACTACACGTTTTCCATCTGGCGAGAACGCCACGGATTCGACCGATAAATCGTGGCCACGCAATACATGTTGGCTACTGGGCCAATTCTGGTGACGCCCAGTAGCGACTTGAGCAACGTTCGGAAACCGAGCGAGAAACCGCGCTGCAAAAACGGAACTGGTCGGAGAAAATGGCAGTGCAGACAAATACAAGTGTGGGGTGCTTTCGTTGATAAGACTCGCAAAGTTGCAGACAAATTTGCAGGTGTCCCTTAATACTGGAAGGATGTCCTGATAGTCTTCTTTCCCCTACGAGAGCGTAGCCATCATGTTAAAATCCGGAATAGGATCTAGTGTGTCGCATTACGTACCTCCAACCACGCTGTGGTAGCAATGAGAGCCCTATAGGCTTCGCCAATAGATTTTAATAGGCCGAGCGCCTCCAACCAGAAGAGAAGCCGGTCGCCATCCAGAAACTCCTTTAGAGATTGCGCCAGACGCGAGTCGAATTCGGCTTCTCGAAGGTGAGTCGCCCAAAATCGACAGGAATACGAGAGGTGTGGGGAGATATTCTTTTCGACCTTGGCAGCCAAGCCGTCTATCGCTGAATTACGCACATAGGATGTCTCTAGTCCACAGATGTTGAAGCGTAAACTGCTTTGCATAACGTGGAGGGAGGCGGAGGCTAGATTCTTATGGATGTCGCATTTATCGATGAAAAACTGCCCACTCCGCTTTTTCTCCGTCAAGAAGTCGTACAAAGATGCGTGCAAAGGACGAACGGGGATCGAGTGATCAATGATGCCACTGAGCAGTGGGGCCATATAGTCCAGGATAACTTCCACCTGATAGCTACCTTCCTGGCCCGAGAAACTTCGACGCATTGCGTTCAGGGAGTGTATGGGAAGCGGATCCAACGCGTACAGCACTTGCCGCATTACTGAACGGAACCGGCTGAGAGTTCTCTGCTTCGTGATGATGATGTCCTCCAGGACCAGGTTATACATGTCATCCAGAAGTGTCCTTCCCTCCTCAGTGGTATGGGCAATGAGATCATCAAAACGTTCCTTCGCGGTTTCTCCAGCTCCGTGAGACCTGATATATTCGCATGCAAGACGAGCCCACTCAAATAGACCGTCAGACTTCTTTGCGATCTTGTTGACTTCTTCTTGATGTATGCCCTTCTGGCGCTTCAGCTTCTCCGAAACGTACAGCCGGATATCACGTATGGTCGACGTGACAGAGACGTCTTCAAGAGATGTTGCCCTGATGTGCCCGATACTTTGCAACGTGTCCATAATATCTTGCAGAGGCCGTGAGGTCAAAAGTATGCGAAAGTTTGGAGGGAGCTTTCCAGCCTGCGTTGCAAAGACGCTAAGTATCTCCTCCCGCGTGGCTGTTCCACCACCTTCGTCCAGGGCGTCAACAACCATAACGACGTTTCCAACAGCGGGTCCCTTCAGGTTCGACACGGGTTCCAGTATGAACTTCTGCCACTGCTGCATGATATCTTCCGTGTCCCTGAGGGAACGGTTATTCGCAATCATCTCTGCCAGAAGGGGCTTGAGTCGCAGATCGCGATCTGCCAAGTCACGAGCAATGGTCGTGATCAACTTTTTGTGAAGTTCTTCGGCTTGTCGAACATGAGAGAAACAGAAACACGACCCGAGCATCCCGAGATTTTGGGCCTGCAACGCGATGGTATGCGCGATGGAGGACTTTCCCTTGCCAGCTTGCCCATGAAGCCAGAAAACACGCGGGCAAGCAGGGTCCGTATCATTGATCCAGTCAAAGATCTCGCTCAGAATCTCGGCTCTCGTGCCGTCCAAACATGTCTTCATGGTGTTTAGTCCGGCCCCCCCGGCATACGACATGCCCTCCAGGCTGAGATCCTCGCGCATCCTGTGAACGTTGACTTGAATGTCTCGAAGTTCCTTGTCGCGAAAGCGCTGCATGAGCCCATCCAGAGCCGAGTTGTAGCATCCAATCCTAGTACTCGTCTCGGAGAATATGTTCTTCCCAAGTCGCACCCCTGAGTGGAAGTGATTGGTTTGGTCTAATCGTTGAAGAGCCAGGTAACAAATACACACAGAAATTCTTCGTTTCTGAGTACTTCGAGATGAACTGCGCACACTCTTGGACCACTTGGGCTATTTGGGCTAGAGTATCTTTCATGACGTCGAGCTGGGACAACGTATCCTCTTCCATGATGAACTGATACGTTTCACTGACTTTGGAAAGGAGGGCTCGGATGGATGCATCCAGGTTCGCTTGTGATAGAATCAACTATCCGGGAGGTGTAAAACTGGGGAAGACTAGGCAAATTGAAGGCATACCTGAGACGCTGAAGTTAGCGCGCTCAGCGCCATCTGTGCATACGGATGTATCTATAACTTTCTAGTGAGCAGCCTGCAGACCCGCGTGGACGAGATGTGCGAACGTTGGCAATGCTATTGACGACCGTATAAAAGATGCTGAGAGGTGCGAGATATGTGGCGTCTATTGCGCATAGGTCAGACATGGCGGTGTTCGCGTTGTCTACGGCGCCAACTGCAATCTTGGTGGAGCGAAGTGTGACACTCATGGCCGAAAACCCTTCCGCTGCAGCACCAAGGTCGTTCTCTATATGTTGTGTTCCATTCGTGACCTGTGTGTGCAACCCTTCGAGATGAGGGCGGCTCGACGTAGGTATACTATACGTTCAAAACACACCTCATGTCCTGTTCCGAAAGTTCTCTCGCCTTTTGCAAGAGTAGAGGTGCTAGTGATGATACTACTGGCGGGTACGGATGAATCGCGGAGATGTAGGAAACGCCTCAACGCTGCTCTTCCTTTGGTGAAGAGTTTCACATCCCGAGATGGTGATTTGCTCCCGTGAGAAGATGCCTGAGACTGATATGAGCGTGGTACTATGAGAGCCGTCGTTGAACCATGAACCGGAACACTCACGCTGGTTTCATCAGACGACTTGGGTATCTTGCCAAGTAGTGGACGAGGCATTCAGGTTGGGTTGTAGTTGGTAGTATGACCGTTATGAGACGTGCCATGGCAAAGGGACTTGTCTGCCGTGATGGTCCACACTGCACTGGAACAACTCACACAGCCCACACGTTCATCAAGCATGCCATCAAGGGCCTGACGGGGCTTGGCTGAGACTTCATATTCGGCCGTATTTGGTTACATCGTTTATCACACGATCGTCCCTGAAATACTTCCGTCAATACACCCCTATTTATTGGTACATGTCTCCCAGGTCTTACACACAAGCCAGCCCCTCCCTTTCAACGGGAAAACCTCGCAAACCAATCCCGCGTAGCCTCAACTGACACCCGCGCAGCTTCGACCCCATCGAGCGGGTGGGACTCCTTCGGAAAGACGAACATCTCCACGGGAGCCTGGTTGCGACCCTTCAGAGCATGATAATATCCCTTCCCTTGACTAGTCGGCACCCTGAGGTCGTCTTCGCCAATTAGGAGCAGCGCTGGCGTGCGCACCCTATCGACATGGGCGATCGGGGAGGAACTGTATAGCTGAGCGAATGTCCCAGGGTTCATGTGTGTGCGCGGACCAAAGGCAACCCC